GAGATCAAAAACAAATTCGGCTTTGTTGATGGATCCTTGCCATGTCCAGGAACATTGGATCCAAAATATGGCGTGTGGATGAGGTGTAACAAGATAGTCTGTGCCTGGATCATGAAGTCGATCAATTCCACCATTGCAGAGAGTGTTCTTTACTTTGACATTGCATCAGACATCTGGAGTGCACTCAGCAAGAGGTATTCACAAGCAGATCCTCACAGAATTGCTGAAATCCAGAATCAGATTTTTACAAACGTGCAAGGTAACAAAAGTGTTAATGAATATTTTACAAAGTGTAATTCTCTTTGGGGACAAATGAGTGCTATGAGACCCCTGCCTGTCTGTGAATGTGTCCCTAAGTGTTCATGCACATTGATGAATAAAATTCTGAAGGAGAAACAAGATGATCAAGTCATAAGATTCTTAGAGGGACTTAATGATGAGTATGAATCTGTGAAGTCAGGGATCCTTGTCATGGATCCAATCCCTAACATGGAAAAAGTTCTGAATATGACTTTGAAAATAGAGAGAAAACTCAATGGAACTATCAGCCAAAAAAGTATTGAACCAGCTCACTCAAATGCTGTTCAAACTGATCAGAATCAGTCCTTAGATGAACAAAGTGTTGCAGCCTTCTCAGGTCCAAACAACAGGAAAAGGTTCAACAACAATGGAGGCAAGAATGTGCCTAAGTGCACATATTGCAATATGATTGGTCATACAATTGAGAGATGTTATAAAAAACATGGATATCCTGCAGGCTGGATTGCAGGTTACAAATCTAAGAACAAACAGAGTCAAGATGTCCCAAATTCCTCTGTGAATCAAGTGGGAGACATAGGAATGACTGCAGAACAATTTCAGAGACTTGTGACTCTCCTGCAGAACCAAGGCCAAGCAAACAAGTCATCTTTTAATGCTGCTGTTACTATGCACAATACTGGGGTGAGAACTGAATTCAAAAACAGTCTTGAAGGCTCTACTGAAGGCAAGTTTATTTCTAACCTTCATATTAACAATGCAGTAGATATTATATGGATACTTGATTCAGGTGCCACAGATCATATTGCTTGCTCTTTAGAATACTTTGACAGCCACTGCAAAGTAGATGGAATATCTGTTAAACTACCTAATGGAGAAAATGTGAATGTCACACATATAGGAAACATTAGACTCCATTCAGGCCTTGTGTTGAGCAATGTGTTACATATCCCTTCTTTCACCTTTAATATTGTGTCTGCTAGCAAGTTGACAAAACAAGGGACATGCAAAATTATTATGAACACTGATTCTTGCACCATTCAGGGTCCTCATGGGATAGTGGATGGTTTTGCTAAAGAGAAGAATGGACTGTACCTGATTTCTCAACCCCCTCCTAGAAGGAAGCATGCTGAAATTGATAGGACCATTGAATGTAATAGTCTATCTTTACAATTGTGGCATTATAGACTAGGTCACTACCCTGTGAACAGAATACATTCTCTGAATGGAATAAAAGATGCTCACTTCTACAAACTAGCTGATTTTGCCTGTGATGCTTGTCATTTTGCCAAACACAAGAGGTCTAGTTTTCCTATCAGTATTTCTAGAGCTGAAAATTGCTTTGACTTATTACATATGGATGTTTGGGGTCCTTTTGCTATTGCATCTTTAAAAGGACAACACTATTTCTTGACAATTGTTGATGATCACAGTAGATTTACCTGGTTACACCTAATGCAAAGCAAATCAGAGGTAAAAACTCTATTTCAGAACTTCTATAGCTATGTTGATACTCAGTTTGACACAAAAATTAAAGCTATAAGGACTGATAATGGCATTGAGTTTATGATGAGTAGCTTCTGCAATGACAAAGGAATTTCACATCAGAAATCATGTGTGTACACCCCCCAGCAAAATGGCATTGCAGAAAGAAAACATCAACACATACTGAATGTAGCCAGGGCTCTTAGGTTCCAAGCTGGTTTACCAATTGAATATTGGGGTCATTGTGTTATGTATGCTTCCTATTTGATCAACAGATTGCCTACAGTCAAGAATGATCACAAAACTCCCTTTGAAATCTTCTTTGGGAAGAATGTGGATTATAATCAGCTCAAAGTTTTTGGATGCTTGTGTTATGGATCCACAATTTCACAAAGAAGGAATAAGATGCAACCTAGAGCTAGGAAGTGCATTTTTTTGGGGATTCCTGCTAATGTGAAAGGTTATATTTTGTGTGATATTCTTGACAAGGAAGTGTTTATTTCCAGAGATGTCAAGTTCTATGAACACATATACCCTCTAAAAGAAAGTCATCCAACAAAAGGGTCAGATTCTCCTGAAGCTGAGACATTCAATCCTCCCTTACCTCTAGTACCCATCTCCACTGACATTGACATCACACCTCTAGTACAAAATGATGATCATATCTCTCTTCACAGTGAGGAGACTATGGAAGCTGATGATAACATAAGAAGTGATATACATTCTGGATTGCATGATGAATCTATTCCAGAAGAGAATGAAGGGCAAGAAGATTCTATCAATGAAGGGGAAGAAGTTTCTGTCCAAGCACAACCTAGAAGGTCAGAGAGAACAAGAAACATTCCTGCCAGATTACAGGATTACTTTTGCCACTCAAATAGCAAATCCAAGGTCAGAACTTCTCCACATCCTATCAGCAATGTAATTTCCTATGATTGTCTGCCCCCTAGTCATAGGGCATGTGCTGCATCTATTCTCTCCACACATGAACCCCAAACTTATAATGAAGCAGTAAAAGTTGAAGCTTGGAGGGAGGCTATGCAGTCTGAAATTAAAGCTCTAATTGAAAATAAGACATGGATTCTCACAGATTTGCCAGCAGGGAAAACTCCTATTGGATGCAAATGGGTTTATAAGGTGAAATATAAGGCTGATGGTTCCATAGAAAGACACAAAGCAAGGCTGGTTGCCAAGGGTTACACCCAACAGCTTGGGGTAGATTACATGGAAACATTTTCTCCTGTGGCTAGGATGACAACAATAAGAACTTTTCTGGCCATAGCTGTTGCAAAGGGGTGGGACATCCAACAACTTGACATTAACAATGCTTTTCTACATGGAGATCTAGAGGAGGAAGTATATATGGTTATGCCTCCTGGTTTCCAGAATGATAAGCCAAAACAGGTCTGCAAACTATTGAGATCCTTGTATGGTTTAAGACAAGCTAGCAGGCAATGGAATGCAAAGTTGACAATGGCTTTAAAAGACAATGGCTACAAGCAATCTTCATCAGATCCTTCTCTATTCACTAAAAGCTCAAATACTTCATTCATTGCCTTACTTATATACGTTGATGACATTCTAGTGGCAGGAAATGATCTCAACCAGATTGCTCAGTTGAAACAAAATCTGGACAAGGCTTTTAGAATAAAAGATCTAGGCCAATTGAACTACTTTCTTGGTATTGAAGCTTTTAGAACTCCTGATGGCCTCAACTTGTGCCAAAGAAAATATGCTATGGAGATTTTAAAAGAACATGGTTTTTTGGATGCTAAGCCTGCTCAAACACCCATAACAGCAGGTCAGAAACTCAACAATGAGGAAGGATATCTTCTTGACAAGCCTGAAGAGTATAGAAGGTTGGTTGGTAGACTTCTCTACTTAACAAATACCAGGCCAGAAATCTCCTATGCTGTGCAGCAGTTAAGCCAGTTTGTGGATAAGCCTAGAAGCACACACCTTATGGCTGCCCACAGAGTCTTAAGGTTTCTTAAAGGAGCCCCTGGAAAAGGTTTGTTCTTCCCAGCTCATTCTCAACTACAACTGCAAGGGTTCTCTGATTCAGACTGGGCAACATGTGCAGAAACAAGAAAATCTATCACTGGTTACTGCATCTACTTTGGGGAATCCCTAATTTCATGGAAGACAAAGAAACAAGCTACTGTGTCCAGGTCATCATCTGAGGCAGAATATAGGGCCCTAGCCTCAACAACATGTGAAATTCAATGGTTATTGTATCTTCTAGCAGACCTTGGACTGAAACATGGCCAGCCAGTTTCTTTATTCTGTGACAATCAATCAGCTATAGCTATTGGGGAAAATCATGTGTTTCATGAACGCACCAAACACATCGAAATAGATTGTCACATAGTCAAGCAAAAGGTATGTGAAAAGAAGATCAAGTTGATGCCCATACCTTCACAACAGCAGATTACTGATGGATTCACCAAGGCCCTGCCTAAATTGAGCTTTGATATTTTCCATTCTAAGCTGGGGCTTCGAGACATCTACGCTCCAGCTTACGGGGGGGTGATGAAGCATGCTGCTAATGAGATGATAAAGCATGCTGAAAAAGAGTAAACCAATAGTCTAAGGACTTACTTGTATTTTCCTTTCTTTTTCTGTTATAACTGCTTCTGCCACCATACTTAAGGGGTGATATTTCCCTCCTGGTGCAGTTAGTTCATTTTGTATTCTTTCTCCCACTTTCAATACACTTCTTCCATCAATCAGCACTCATGTTCTGTGTTCAAGCATTCTCTCTTCCATATCCTGAGATCATGCTCTAAGTTCTCCAACAATCCAGCTGCAAATTAAACTACTATGATGTAGAAGAAAGCCATACTCTTACAGAAAATCCAAGGTCGGTGCGTGTTTTCCCTCAACAATAGCGTGCATTCTGATCTGCTGGATGCGTGTTGAGTATTGTTGATAGACACATGATTTCTGATGTAGAATTCCTTTAATTTGTCAGAATATATAGAATTCTTTCTCAAATCATCCAAAATAACGCATACATACATACCAATCTACCATGATGCGGCTTCATATATAGGAAAATATAAACAAAAGAGAAAAAACAAATATAGTACAGTTCTGCATTATTGATAGAGATAAAGAAGCTTTTCTACAGATGGAGGTGTTTATTCTCACTTGGTAAACAAGCTAAGGATAACTACTTGGTATTGGTATTGGTATTGGTATTGGTATTATAAAGCTAGGAGAATATATGACCAACAAATTAAATTACAAGAATATCATATTTCATATCCCCCAATAACAAACAAACTAGAGAAACTACATTTATAATGCAGTTTCTTAAGAGGTTCTACCTGGTGCTGAACTGTGCAGAAGAGAGCTTGCGCTGCTGCACAGTTGGTTTTGTCATTGTTTTGAACAGTGACCCGAAGACTTTGGCCCTGTTTGGTAAAATGGTTGTTAGTTGATAGCTGTTAGATATTAGCTGATTGTGTTAATTAGAGGGTATAAATACTTGATAACATTAGTTGATGGTAGAAAAGTGTTTGGTAAATTAGCTTGTTAGTTGGTATAATTTCTTTTCTTAAAAAGCTAATTGAAAAAGTTGTTTGGAGTAGCTTTTTGAATTTTAGCCTTTTGGAGTTGCAAAAAGTTAATTAACCAAACATTTATATTGATATTTTAACTAAATCAAACAATAAATATTGATCAAATAAGCCAAAATTGGCCTATAGGCCAATTTTTTTACCAAAAAAAGCGTTTATTTTTAATAGTAATTCTTGGTATATGTTCAACCTTCCATCGATCTGATCCTTCAACACTTATCTTTCGAATAAGTTGTTGAGATGGGTGAATTAGACGCAATTCTTTCAAATGCTCAACTTCTCTCAAGCCTTCTGGAACCATTTCTAGACATTTGCACTCGAGCATAGATAGTGACTCAAGAAATTTCATAGCTCCCTTTCCTATTTCCCACTTGGTAAGCTCCGGGCAACATATGGTTAGCTTCTTGAGTTTTGGAAAGCTCTCTTCACTGCACAATAACTGGTCTCTAATATAACTGTGAATGTCGAGATCCAACAGGCTTGGCAGTTTCTCCAAACTATTGAAGAAATCCTCATCTACATCACAGTTTTGTATATTAATTGAGCGAAGATAGTTAAGAGTGCGAGTAAACTTTACCAATTTCTGAAAATTTGACAGCTTGAGCTTCTCGAGATAAAGGGGTGGTGAGAAATTTCCAAATTCCCATACCATACCATCACCATTATTAATGATTTGACGCTGAATAAATAGAGAGCGTAGATTTGTCATTTTATTGACAGAATCACAAATTGCTCTCCAACATTCTTCCCCTTCATTGAATATAATGTCCAACTCAGTGAGTTGTGTGAGGTTTACTAATTCTCTTGCTTGAATGGTAATAATCCGTATGCCAGATAATGTTTGAAGCTGAGAAGATGTGAATACTATATCATCTGCCGCTTGTTCTGTAACGCTGCCTCCAAACAGATGTCTCAGCTGCATAAGCTGTGACACGCATTTAGGCAAACGCTTCACCTTAGTAAATCTTAAATCCAATGTCTGTAGATTGTGCAATCTTCCCAAAGAATCAGGGAGATGTCTCATATCCCTATTACCACACAGACTTAAGTACCTAAGATGAATAAGATCCCCAACCTCATTGGGCAGTTCCTCCACACCACCAGGTAACCATTCCAACGCCAAAACTCTGAGCAACTTCATGTTTTGGAGCATCTGAGGGAGCGAATTCACAATAATCCTTTCACCGTGGATGATGAGTGTACGGAGCTTCTTCATATTTCCCTTTTCAAGATTCACCACCTTTCCCTTGCCTTTCAAGATTATCAAACTACGCCTTTGCTTCCACTCAAGTTTGGTATTATGCTTCAATTTGATTTCAGCAAACATTTCCCTTCTAATCACCTCACCAGCTACATCACGGAACAGGTCATGCATTTCAATTTCGTTGTTCACTCTACCAAATATATACTCTTTGGTGACGATCCGAATCAAGCTTCTATTATGGAGTTGAAGGAGGTAATCCCTTGCAATGCCTTCTACTGGTCTGCCACCATGCTCTGCCTCCTCCTCATTGATAAACCCCTCCGCTATGCACATCCGGATCAACTCTTTGACACGAAGGCGCTTTGTTTTGGGGAACATTGCACAGTATAAGAAACATGACTTGAGGTGAGGTTGGAGCTCATTGTAACTCAACAATAGGGCTCTGTTGAGAGATTTTAGACTGCCTCTTTCCCTCTAAGTAATCAAGAATGTGTTGTTGAAGAGAATTTCTATCTGCTTTCTCAAGTTCAGCAGGAGGCTTGGTTCCAACACTTTTGTACACCCCATTGATTGTTGTCCTCAGAACATATTCAATATCTGAGGAGTGGTTCACATCAACCCACCAACAATAATCAATGTTGCGATCCTTCTTGACACTTTCATGAACTTGCTTCCCCAAAGTAGTTTTCCCACAACCTCCAGCTCCCCAAATCGTGATCAACTTCACTTGACCACTACACCTCTCAATCAGTTGTGCTATCCGGTTGACTTCAATGTCGATCCCCACTGCTTCTATCCCCTCCATATATCCACTCCCACTGCCCGTCAGTAACTCATTTCTTCCATCATTTGTCTTCAGTTTTATAGCGTACTTTGATTTGTCTGCTTCTAGAGCAAGTAGCTTCTCATCCATGGCTTTTAACTGCTGATGGAAGCAAAACTGTAACTTCACCCTCTCCACCAAGCTCTGCACGTTGGCAAAGAGGGACTTGACTTCACAAAAATTGCAGGGAGGAGTGTTGAGTTCCAGAAGCTTGGAATCCAACATCAACTCCTCCACCAAGTCCTCAAGTTGAAGTGTGGTATCCCTCAGTTGTGTCACCCAGCTCTCTGCTACCTTGCTGTCTTGTTTCCCCTTGCCTGAATCCTCAACGTAGCCTTTCATGTTGGCTAGCCGAGCAGTGATCTTCTCCACCTCAGCTTTGATTCTCCACTGGAATATGACTTCTTGGAAAGCTTGCTCCTTCAGCTTTCCAACTACAAAATCAACAACAGCACCAGCCATAATTATGGCAAAACACCGATTGTGTCAACTGTACTGATAGATCTGAGTAAGTATAGCAGGCCAATTGAACAAATTAAAGATGGATTTGCTTAATTGTGGGGGTGATTCAACATGGTTTTTGCTGCAAATATATACACCAAATTAATCCCTCAGCTGGTTTGGTGAGATAGATGCCATTACCAAATTAATTAATCCCACCACTAACCCCTTCAAAATATTTAATCTCCAACTTGCATTGCTCTAAACGTAACAACCAATTAATTAATGGGTGATTAACCTAATCAACTTGGTCTTTATCAACTTGCTCTTTATTTATACACCTAATGATCTGTTCCTAGCAATTTAACTATTCAAAGGTAAACATCAATCACATGTCATATAGGATACTATACTCAAAACATAATTAATAAGTTCTGTTTTTTTATAATGACAGTCATTAAAATCTAAATGTAAATTAAAGCAACCACAGTTTTCTACATATAACACCGGGGCATACCCCTTGGTACGACAAATTATTGTGAGGACCATGAATACAAAATACATTATTTTTGTACTAAATATACATTATTTAATAATATATAAAATAATGTATTTTCAGTATTCAAATAATTTACTATCAAATAATGTACTTTACATACACAAATAATGTACTTCTAATATATTAATAATGTACTTTTTATTTATGATCCACAGAGTATGGATCATGGTCCATGTAATAATGTTTGCCCTGAGTACATACACGAAAAAACCGCAAATTATGCCATGGAAACGTGCTCACCATGCGCATGGTGAACACAAGGATATATCCATAAATTCTATATTGTAGATCCATAATTTCTATGATGTAGAAATTATGAATCTACAGTACGGTATAGAAATTATGAATCTACAGTATAAAAATTATGGAGATCCATAATTTCTATGCTATAAATCCATAATAATTATGGATCTATATCTTAGAATTTGTGGATCTATCCCGTGTTCATCATGCGCATAGTGAGCACGGTTCCACAGCATAACTATTGCGAAAAAACAAATTAGCCTCAATTGAGGTTAATGTAAAACAAAGGCCCATCAAAAGCACCCAAGCTAGCCCTAGCCAATCGTTATACCGTGCACCAGGGCGCATATAGCAATGTGCACCCCACACTCCCAAAACGATGTTATTTTGGTAAGTTCTGTGTTTTTTGGTATAAAATTCTGTGCATTCTATTATATAATTCTGTACATTCGAAACATGAGAATTTTCAGTTATAAAATTCTATGTTTTCATGTATAAAATTCTGTGCATTCTATTATATAATTCTGTACATTTGAAACATGAGAATTTTCAGTTGTAAAATTCTGTGTTTTCAGGTATAAAATTCTGTGTATTCTATTATATAATTCTGTACATTCGAAACATGGGAATTTTCAGTTATAAAATTCTATGTTTTCAGGTATAAAATTCAATGTATTCTATTATACAATTCTGTGCATTCGAAACATGAATTTTTTTAAGGAGTTAATAGCAGACACGCGAAAAGGTACAAAACGATGTCGTTTTGGGCCAGGGCACACAATGCATTGTGCACCCTGGTACACGGTATAATTTCAATCGTTATGCTGTGCATCCGTATGCACCGTGCATGGTGGATACAGATGCAAAAACGACGTCATTTTGACGTCTAACTTAAAAAAAAAAAATCAGAATTGCATAACTACACATTCATAATTTCATAACTATATATCCAGAATTACATGACTACACATCCATAATTTCATAACTATAAATCCAGAATTGCATAACTACACATCCATAACTTCATAACTATACATCCAGAATTGCATAACTATACATCCATAACTTCATAACTATAAAATCCAGAATTGCATAACTACACCATGCATAATTACACATCCATAATTTCATAACTATAAATCCAGAATTGCATACCTACACATCCATAATTTCATAACTAAAAATTCAGAATGAATAAACTAAAAAATGAACAACATAATGTTGTTGCTGGGAATCGAAACTGATTTTTTTTTTTTTTTTTTAAGTAGGACGCCCATTTTGATGCAAAACGACGTCGTTTTTGCATCTGTATGCACCATGCATGGTGCATACGGATGCACAGCATAATTTGCCAGCCCTACCCTAAAGCAAATTTTAAGCGAGATATTTAAAATAACCCCAAGCACATGCTACTGGAGCGTTATGATGTGCAACCGTGTGCACCATGCAAGGTGCACACAGAATTGAATCCATAATTTCTATACTATAGATCTATAATTTTTTATTTTTTACTATAGATCTATAATTTATATACTATAAATTCATAATTTCTATACTATATATTCATAATTTCTATACAGTATATTCATAATTTCTATACTGTAGATTCATAATTTCTAAACTGTAGATTCATAATTTCTATACTATAGATTCATAATTTCTAAAATGTATAGTTATCAAATTATGAACATATAGTTCAGTGATTTGTGAATACAGAGTTCAACAATTGGGAATATGAACATTGAAAATTATGAACATAGAGTTTTGTAAATGTGAATATAGAGTTCAATAATTATGAATCTATAGTATAGAAATCATGAATCTAATTCCGTGTGCACCATGTTGCACTGTATAATTTGCCCACGCTACTCTTGTGTTTAGACAGAATAAGTAAAAATAACAAAACACAAAGGAAACATACAAATTATTTTGTAGACCATGGTCTATAGTTGTGTGGACCTTAAAAGTTATATATTCATATACATGTCATTCAAATGAATATATCCAAAAAAAATATTTTAAATATTAGCTCAAAAATATTAATATTATCTAAACTAAATTTTAGGTGAACTGAGTAGGTTATTTGTTCGGATATTTTTTTTTAGTTATTATGTTATATACAGATACAAATTTACATATATTAGACTTAAAAGTAAAAAAAAAAAAAATTAAATTTATTCCATTTAAACCAAACATATGTAAAAATATTTTAAATATAAGATCTAAAAATCACTCGAAATTAAACTTGTGTTAATTTTATAACGTTAACTTGAAAAAATAAATTTTAAAAAATAAATGTTAGTAAACAAGTTTTCTAAACAGAAAACAGATAATGAAAACTGAAAAATTTAAAAAACAGAAAATAGAGAACAGTTTTCTGTTAGTAAACGGACTCCAAAAAAGTTGTAAAAGAATTGGTTTTCCAAATCCCCTACATTTGTCGGTCTTTCACTCTGCCAAAATAAATAAATAAAAATCAATGAACACACACCAATCAACTTAAGTCTCTAATTAAATGCATTTAAGAGAATTTGAATAGTATACACATTACCCTTTCAATTGCGGCTTTGGTGTCATATAGCCAACCTACGTGACTGTACTAAAATCCTTGAATGGGATTGTGGAGATCTTTTTTAGTATCCGCATACTGATGGTGATATCTATGGTTACTCACCCACCTAATTGGATCTCCCTAAAGCATAAAAGTTATGTTGTAAAAAAAAAATATTGTAATCGTATTCATTGTCTACCTAGCTAGTTATTTGATAAGATGAGACCTGAAGGAACACTGCAATAGGCAAAAAAGTACTCGAGCCATTTGGGAAGCTTGAAACTTCTGTGACTCAGATTCCTATGATAAGAGAGACTAATACCCAGCGCAGTGACGATGTACAACCCAAACGCAACGCCAAAAGCATCCCAACTGAAACAAAACGGGGCAAACAGACAAAGGCAATGTGCCAACGGAAACAAGACCACCGTCACTATCCGCGAACCAGGCGCCACTTCCAAAGATTTCGCCATTCTCCTCCAAAACTGAACCCTCTTCTGATTCTTTGCCCCTTGTGGTGTGTCTTCTCCGTCATCAGAAGCGGGGCGAAAGCACACAATGGGTGATAACCTTTTATATTTTTCCTCCTTGCAATTAAAGAATCCATTTTGTCCTAGTAGTTTTGTTGTGGGGGTTTGCGTTTGCCTAAGTAAAGGGCTGCAGCTTTGTGGTAGTGAAAAGAAAAATGGTTTAGCTGCTAGTGACGGCCACAGCGACAGCGATGATAAGGATGCCATTTTCTTTACTTGGTTTGGTTATTTTCTCATATATATATATATATATATATATATATATATATATATATATATATACCAAGACAGAAGACAAATCTAGCAAATCTGGAACTTGGGAACCACCATCAAAGGGATGGGACGTACAGCTACCATGGCCATACTATAGTAACCAATTATATACTTATTATTATTACTAGTAATTCATCCGCGCGATGCATGGGAAAAAATTATGTTATTATAAATATAAATAAAAAATTAAAAAATTAAAATATTTTAAATTATTTAATATAATAATATTTTTGAGCTTCCATTGGTCAAGTATTTATTATTTTTATAGAATACAAAATTACAATTAAAATTAAAATTAAAATTAAAATTAAAATTAAAATTAAAATTAAAATTAAAATTTTGTATGGTTAATATAATCCCTAATTATGTACATATTCAAATAAACTTATAGAGAGAATTTACATAATTACATTGATTTATTCTTAATTGCATTTCATCTATATTATAATTTCACAATACGAATAATAACTAACATAATTACATTTGGAAAGCAAATTTCAAATTTTGTATATGTAAATTTAAACTCTAATTGAACACATTTTTTATATGATTATATAATATATAGCTATTTTATTTTTCAAAAGTATATTTTTTTATATGATTATATAATATATAGCTATTTTATTTTTTAAATATTGTGTTTTTTTTTTTATAATAAAGGATGTTGTGGCATTAATTGTAACATTAATTATTTCCCAAACCATATAGCTTTATTATATAAAGGATTATAAGGAAGGAGATACCCTATATCCATACACACTATTTGACTCAAATGAGGTTCGAACCTTTCATCTCCCACTTAAGAGAGCAATCGGGTATCTGTGGACCACAAGATCTATGGTATATACTTATTTTTTTAAAAAATGGTTAAACAGCGTGTGTATGTAATTCTTTTTTTTTTTTTTTCTATTTTTTAATAATGAATTTGAGGACAAGGGGCTAAGGGTGTACGTTGGCGGTTGGCATAGTGCAGGTATCCAATTATATATCAACTTTCAAGGCTATCTTATCCGTACGTAGAGTCGTAGATGCTCTTCAATTTGGCAGGATGAATTTGTTTCACGTGTTTCTTGAATCTTGATAGTACCGGCAAAGATACTATTTTTAATGGGGTTAATAAATATAACATAATTTATTATTTTGTTTTTTTTTTTTATTTTTAATAGAAAAAATAAATAGTTTTTTAAAAAACAAAAATAAAACTTTCAAAAAAACAAAAATTAAAAAAATGACACATGCCAAACTTGGTGTATATTTTGGTAAATACAAAACATTTCAATTTTTTTTTATACAAAATAGGTTGAACCGTTATATCTTTTATATTTATTTTTTTTTCTAAACATTCATAATTGAAAACTAAAATGTCATTGTATTTAACGATATTTAAACTGTTTTGTTGATAAAAGACCAAAAATGATCATGCCATAAGTGGATGTTTTAATAAAAAATAACTTAAAATGGACTGTCACCTATAAATCTAGGACAAAAAATAAAATTAACTCAATAAATAAATAGTTTCTAAAAAAATAAAAATAAAACTTTAGAAAAACAAAAATAAAAAAAGGACACATGCCAAACTTATGGAGAATTAACATGCTAAACAAGTCAATTTGAATTCAATTAAACAATATTACAGATTTCGGGAATTTAAATAAAACTTTTTTTTTTTTTACTTATGAGACCCAATTGCATTATTCAGTTGACTTAGGAAGTTAATTTGACTCTTTTCCAATATAATATAATGAAGAATGTGAAGATATAAATATCAACGCTTTAGGCCGGCATTAAAACCAATTATATATTTCTAGATTGATTGCCGATTTTCCATGCTTGATTTCCTCACACACAGCTGGGAATTAACGTTTTGGTGGTCGAAAAAGCCAAAAGTGGTGGTTGGAAAAAAACAAAATTCGGTCGAAAATTCTTGTTCGATCACTTCTCTGATCACATTGAGGATTCGGAAAAACCACCCTCGATATTTCCAACCACCACATCAAGTGGTTGGAAATACCGTCCACTTAAATTAGTTGTAGGCATGTGGCGTAGTGGTCGGAAAGTTATTTAGTTATTTTTAACAAAATTTCGACCACTTGGTGGTCGGAAAGTAATTTAGTCAATCAAAAAAATTTGTAGCCTGCAACCTAGGTTCATCAACCCAACAAAAAAAAAAAAAAAAAAAAAATCCTCAACGTTTATTGGAGTGGACCCCATTAAGGACAGTTTTGAGAGTGCAATAGTTGCTTCCTTCTGAGCAGCTACAGCTTCTCTCTCCTTCCTTCTGGCATGCAGTATACACATGAAAGCTTCCATGAACAAACTATAGATGAATACAAGCAATTGTCAAGGGGAATGGACTACAGTGTGTTGCCAAAACAAATATACAACTCGAGTTATTTGAACTTTCCAAACACTTAAGTGTAAATGATGGGATCGATGGTTTAAACACATACCTTTCCAGTCGCAAAAGTAATAGTATTGCCAAACCCAACATCTGCAATTGCTTTCCTTATTTGTGCCACAAGGTACTGAATGATTGCACCAAGAGGCAACATTATAAATGTTTGTTTGTTAATAAGTGGATACAAAAATGAGGCTACATGTGCAGAGAGCAAAGGAAATACCATATCTTAATTAGTATAAAATGATGTGGCTTGGCCTGATCCTGCACAACCAGTCATCCCAATCCGATGAACATAGTCTTCCATGGTCTACATGTTGCAATAGAAATATTTAAACTTCAATCTACTAATCCAGCGTGCACAAACTTCAACATTCTAAAAATATTATTTCAAAAACATGTTCATTTGCAATATGGGAGGAGGGTTAGAGGAGGGTTAAGAGGACCATGATCATAACTTATGTTAGTGTTTTGTTTTTCTCCATAAAACCCCAACATATAATTGGCAATATTATTATGGAAAACTAAGATAGGGTTTAGCTTGGTGTCTGTTTGCTTTTACATAAGACTGATTGATCAGATACATCAATAGCACTGAAGATCTGATAAAGGAAGAAGTTTTCAAAATATTGAACGCGGTTTGAAGACTATTTTGAAAAAAATATCAACGGATCTGTTTTGGAAGGTATGGACCAAATCTTTAAGATTGCATTCTTCACAAATCGTCCTACCATCTACAATCAAAGATATTTTTGGAGAGTGGTTTTTCTAAGGAAGTATAAGTACCCTCATTCGGTTATGGATTAGGGTTACGTTTAAGAAGAAAAAAAGCATTCCTTGCTATACAGAAGATCAGATCTTTGATTATGCCTCTTCTCAAGAATATATGTTCTTGGTGATTATGATGAAGAATTTGAGAAGAACTATCGTTGCTTAAACGAAAGGACGCGAAGATCACTCAGTTGTGGGAACAACGTGGGACTGCGTCATTGAAGCGGACTGCATCAGAGTTAGCTCTCCAATCGAAGGGATTTCATTGGACTTCTGCATGCGTGGCTCTCCGCCTTCAACAATCCACTAAACCTTTGTAGACTGGGTACGTACCTTGTGTGGGGCACTTGGGTGAGATTCTTGTTTCTCTATCTTTGTACATTGGATTATGAGTCAGTGGATTGGACGCCTCGGTGATCGTCCCCCAGATGTAGATACACACTGTATCGAACTGGGTAAACATCGTTTGTGTGGTTTCATTGTCTGTTTAGTTTTTCCTCGACAAACTAATCTTCTATCTATTTGTCTGACTGACAACTCACGTCGTCACATCAGTCAGTTTTCTACAACAGTGCTTATTGCTAATAATTATCTTAATCTGGGAAAATGCAAAATTACAACTTATATCACATCCAATTGCCTTTTTAATTTAATTTTTATTCTTGTAGTTCATATAATCACTTACTAATATAGTTAGATGCTGAGAAAATGCTCCAGAAAAATATTCAAGGAAATTAGATTAGATGGCCTAGAATTGTAAGAATGTAAGTCCATAGAGTAACAAGGCTAGAAAACTAAAATTGCAGTACGTCCTATATGAAAGTCTTGTATAGATTAGGTTAGACATCCAAGAATGTAAGTCTAGAGAGTACCAAGATACTGCTGGTATTATCGTAATGCTAATAGTAGAGGTGATTGACATCAAAGTAAAGCAGTAGAGAAGGTAAGAACAATTGAAAGCAATGTAAAGTCCTAAGAAAGATGAAGGCAACATTCCTAATCATAAATTTACTCTTAAAGATTATGGAAAGCAATAGAAACTCCAGTAAGAAACTGGGAAAGAGTAAATTTACTCATCAATTCCTTAACCTTGAAATGGATTTTAATCGTAGAATAATGTAGTTACTATTGTGTGGCCAGAAGTATGAACAAGGGAAAAATCATCTCCAAGGCTCCATGGTCCCGTCCCCTCTAGCTTAATTTGCATGACACTTTGTCTGAAGAGGTTTATATGAAGCAGCCACCGGGGTATTGTGATCCTAAATATCCTACCTTTGTGTGTCGCCATAAAAAGGCTTTGTATGGTCTTAAGCAAGCGCCTCGAGCGTGGTATATGGAGCTCTCTAAATATTTGATTGAATTTGATTTATGCAAATCCCGAGCAGATTATTCTATGTTCATTTATCAGTCTAATGATGCCTTAATTTATTTTATGGTGTATGTAGATGACATTGTAGTCACAGGAAATTCTAATGAGCTGTTGGATCATTTTGTTTCCTGCTTAGCACAACGGTTTTCAGTTAAAGACTTAGGAGCGTTACATCATTTTCTTGGCGTTGAGGTAATTCCCACTCCGAATGACTTGTTCTTGTCTCAATCGCAGTATATTATTGATATCTTGAAAGAGGTTGACATGCATGAAGCCAAGATTGTGCATACACCTATTGGGTCTTCGGTTGACTTATTCCGACCAAAGGATCACAGTGATGCTTCTACTGATGCTACATATATTGAAGGGTAATTGGTCTTTTAATACCTTTCAATTACTCGTCCTAATGTCGGCTATGTTATAAATCGCCTCTCACAATTCATGCACAATCCTCTATTAATTCATTGGCAAGCGGTCAAACGAGTGTTACATTACTTAAAGGGAACCGTGTTTCATGGGCTGCTTGTATGCCGTAACACTCGGTTACATCTTGCTGCTTTCTCTGATTCAGATTGGGGTGGTGTTCATGATGGTGGCCGGTCTACGACTGGTTATGTTTTATTCTTAGGGTCCAATATAATTTCTTGGCGCTCGGTTCGACAGAAGCTAGTAACTCGTTCTTCTACAGAAGCAGAATATCGAGCGTTAGCAAATGCGGCAACTGAGGTTATATAGGTACACAATTTATTGCAGGATATGGGGGTTGTTCTACCTCAATCTCCGGTGTTGCACTGTTACAATTTGAGTGCTACGTACATCTGTCAAAACCGGCCTGATGTATCATTCAAGGATGACGCATCTCGCGTTGGACTACGTCTTTGTTCGGGATCATATTGTAAATGGTACACTTCGTGTGCAACATGTTCCGACTACTTCCCGAATTGCTGATATTCTCACAAAGGGGTTGGGAAGATGATCGTTTCAGCATTTTAGTACCAAGATGGAAATCTCTGACGGTTCCTCCATCTTGCGGGGAGTGTATTAAGAATTAGTATTATTAGTGATTATTATTAGTGTATTTAAATTCTCAGGCTCACCTTATTATTCTCCATTGTTAGCTTGCACATAGATAACTAGCTGTTAGCATGTTTCTTCATGTATATAAAGGGTTGTAAAGTATGAATATAATGATCTGTCTTCACTTCCATTATATTCTTATAATAATATCCTGGGTGAGAGTATGTAGATATGGAAATATTTAAATTTTTTTGGAAGCGGAAATATTATTAATAAAATTGGAAGAATAAGTATGAATTTTATTTTGACCAATTGCATAATAAAAGTATTTATAAATTTTTTATGATAATAAGTGCGATGTATATATCATACAATGAGACATGAGCTCATATAACTAATGGAATAACGTACAGATACAAAAAGATAAAAAATTGATTATTTAAACACACACACAAAATAAAAAAAATCAACAAGACAGCAATGACAATAAAATTTGCAAATTTTCCAAACCCAAAGAGCCGAAGCTTCTTGAGAGAAAGGGGTGGTGAGAAATTTATGAATTCTTGTAATTCATCACTTTGAATATATAGAGAGTGAAGATTTGTCATTTATTTATTTATTTATTTATTTATTTATTTTTACAGAAACACCAAATGCTCTCCAGCATTCCTCCCCTTACTTGAAAATAATATTCAACTTAGTGAGTTGTGGGATGTTTACTAATTCTCTTGCTTGGATGGTATTAATCAGTATGCCACAGCTGAGAAAATGTGAATACTATGTCAGCCATTTGTAATCTACTATAACCTTCAACCAGATATCTCAGCTGCTTAAGCTCTGACACGAATTTAGACAAACTCCGCACCCAAGTATGTCTTAAATCCAATGTCTTCTCAACGAATCAGGAAGATGTCTCATCTTATTATAACCGGACAGATCGATCTAAGTACCGTAAGATGAATTAGATCCTCCATACCACCAGGTAACCGTTCCAACTCCAAAACTCTGAGCAACTTCATGTTTTGGAGCATATGAGGGAATGATTCAGAGCAATCCCTTCACAATGGTTGATGATGAGTGTACGTAGCTTCTTCATATTTTCGTAGCAATTGTGAAGCTGAACATTTTGCTCCTCTTCCGGGATGATCAAACTAGGCCGCCTTTGCTTCCACTCATACCCACATCACGGTAAAGGTCGTGCTTTTCAATTCTTCCCAACTCTTTACCAATGTACTCATTGGGAACGATCGGAAGCAAGCTTCTATTTTTGAGCTGAACGATCTGATGCACCGTCGCCCGGAAGTTTTATTTTAGCCAAGAGAGTATGATCCCAAACATCATCAAATAAAAAAATACAGCATGCCTCTTGTCCTCTTCCCCTTCAAGTAGTTGCAAATGTGTTGGTGGAGAGAATTTACATCTGCTTTCTCCAGTTTAGACGGCATCACTTGTGTAGAGCCCATTGATTGTTGTCCTCAGAACAAATTCAATATCTGAGGAGTGGTTCACATCAACCCATCAACAATAATCAATGGTGAGATCCTTCTTGAGGGACTTGACAGAAATTGCAGGGTGGAGTATTTAGTTCAAGTGAGGCCCCCCTCAACTAATTCACCCAATTCTCTGCCATCTGGGTTTCCTGTTTCCCCCAACCCAAATGCTCAACATATATAGAATTTCATGTGAGTTAATACCATCTAAGGTCCTCCGAGTATAGTGGCTTTGCCACGTTTAGTCATAAACTTTCAAATTGACTATCTGTGGTCATTCGACTTTCAAATTTAACAATTCGTGGTCCAAGTTAACCACCCATGGTCCTTCAAGTTTCGAAATTTAACCAGTGGTGGTCCTCTTGAAAGGACCATGGTTGGTTAAAATTTAATAGTTGAAGGACCATGGGTGGTTAACTTGAACCACAAATGGTTAAATTTGAAAGTCGAAGGACCACAGATGGTCAATTTGAAAGTTTAGGATTAAACATGACAAAATCAGTATACTTTTCGGAAGACCTCAAATGGTATTAACCCAATTTCATGTTTTTAGCCGAGTTTTGATTTTTTGTATCTCAGTGTTGATTCTCCACTGGAATATATATAAATTCTTGGTAAGCTGGCTCCTTCAGCTTTTCAACTATAGTAGCAGCAACAATAATTTTAAGTTTTTACACGTACAATTTTAAGTTTCCATAACAATTATTATATCAAATTAAAACAACAACAATAATTACAAATTACACATAACATTGCATTCCTCACATTTCATATTCCATGCATATATATTTCAGGTTGTCTACGTGCTTTCAATTCAAGTCAAAAGCATATATTAAGTTGTAGTTGAAGTCATCTTTCTCTTTTGAGCATGAGTAGGCAACTTAACATCAGTTGCTAAACCAAAAACTTGTAGTGCCCTCACAACATACCAAGTTATGTCAAGTTGCCACCATTCTAGGCCATGTCGAGCTGAATACTCAAAGGCATGGTGATTGTTATGCCAACTATCTCCAAGTGAAGGCAATGCCAATAACCTGACAAAAGTTTATTTCCAAACTTCATAGGATTATATTAAATTAAATAGTATGAATACATAGGAAATGACTATAAAAAAAAATGGTAAGACATTAAAGATTTTAGCATACCAATTATTTCTAGATTGATCACCAGTATTCCATGCTTGATTTCCCCATAGGTGACACACAGAATTCACTAAATATGTTACGTGTGAAAGAAATACAATTCTTACTACCTGGGAAGAAGAATATTAATAACATTTTAAAAAAGTAAATTATCCACCAATCAATCAGGCAAATTATTGTGTGGACTATAGGAGCAAAACGACGTTGTTTTGATTTTTAAAAAATTACTTGTTCCGTGCTCGTGTTAGAATAATGAACATTTTATTGTTAAATAATGTATTTTATGAGTTAGAATAATAATGTACTTTATGTGTTAGAATAGTATACTTTATTTGTTAAAATAATGTACGCATGGCTGCCACGATTGTTAGCTTTGCAATAGTTAGATGATTAGCTGGAAAGGTCTACCCCTTCCCTCTTCTTTAAAAAAATAAAAGGAACAGGCCGGTAAAGACGCCCCCCCAAAAAACAATGAATATATAAGATAGTGAATTGAAAATTAAATAATGCATACCATGCCCCAAACTATATACGGAAATCCACCTATGGCATATAGCAATGTTGTAAGGATAGTATGGTGAATAATGTAGGTATTACGAATGAAGTTGTAAAAGAATTGGTTCTCCAAATCTCCTACATTTGTCGGTCTTTCACTCTGCCAAAAAAAAAATTAATGAAAACACACCAAACAAGGTAACTCTCTAATTAAATGCATGTAAGAGAATTTAAATAGTATACACATTACCCTTTCAATAGCGGCTTTAGTGTCATATAACCAACCTACATAACTGTACCAAAATCCTTCAATAGGACTATGGAGATCTTTTGTAGTATCCGCATACTGATGGTGATATCTATGGTTACTCACCCACCCAATTGGATCTCCCTAAAGCATAAAAGTTATGTTGTAAAAAAAATAGTGTTACCGTATTCATAGTCTACCTAGCTAGTTACTTGATAAGATGAGACCTGAAGAGCATGAACACCGCAATAGGCAAAAAAGTACTCTAGCCATTTGGGAAGCTTGAAACTTCTGTGACTCAGATTCCGATGATAAGAGAGACTAATACCCAGCATAGTGACGATGTACAACCCAAACGCAACGACAAAAGCATCCCAAGTGAAACAAAACGGGGCAAACAGACAAAGGCAATGTGCCAACGGAAACATCACCTTCACCATCTGCGAACCAGGCGCCACTTCCAAAGATTTCGCCATTCTCGTCCAAAACTCAACCCTCTTCTGATTCTTTGCCGCTTGTGGTGTGTCTTCTCTGTCATCAGAAGCGGGGCGAATGCACACAATGGGTGATAACCTTTTATATTTTTCCTCCTTGCAATTAAAGAATCGATTTTGTCCTAGTTTTGTTGTGTAAATGAGGGGGGAACTTTGAAGACTTGTTGGGGTTTGCTTTTCCCTAAGTAAAGGGCTGCAGCTTTGTGGTAGTGAAAAGAAAAATGGTTTAGCTGCTGGTGACGGCCACAGCGATAGCGATGATAAGCATGCCATTTTCTTCAATTTTGTGTACCTTTAGTTGGTTATTTATTTATTTTTTTTAATAATGATTTTGAGGATAAGGGACTAAGGGTGTACGTTGGCAGACTGCAAGTATCCAATTATATATCAACTTTCAAGTTTATCTTATCCGTAGATGCTCTTTCTTCAATTTGTACTACTACAAAAAAGGGCTTTAACTTCAATTTTATGACCCATTTAACATTGGTTATCTTTCTGCGTTGTCTTTCGAGACGTAGTACATAAATGATACAACGTCGATTAAAAATCGACGTCGTATATTTTTTTAAAATTAAAAAATTACCTTATGACTTCGGCTTAAAATTAAAAAATTACCTTATGACTTCGGCTATTTGTATAAAGCCGACGTCGTATTGTTTTTTTTTTTTTTAAAATAATTAATATACGAAGTCGGCCTTTAGGATAAAGCCGACGTCGTATATATTCTTTTTAAAAAAAATAATTCACTTAAGACGTTGGTTTATATAAATAACCGACGTCTTAAGTTAAATACTTTTTTTAAAATAATATGACGTCGGATATTTAGTAAATATCCGACGTCATATATTAATTATTACGATTTTTAATTATGTGAAACACCGACGTCCTCTATATATATATATATATATATATATATATATATATATATATATATATGTTGGAAAAAATAGCTTAAAATGGCATAAAATGGCATGTTAAGTGGCTATTTTGTGGTACAATTATCAGTGGGGTCCACTTCCGATTTGGGTCAGGTCAAAGTGGATTCGGATTCTTCGTAGTGAGACGAAGAGATCGATATATTGTACGCTCAAAACGGATAATGGGTGAATGAGATATTGATTCTCAAAGTAGACCCATTTGAGTTGGAAAATGAAGGGAAAAAGTGGCTTTTGTCCCACATTGCTTTGGAATGAAGATTTTCCCCCCTTATATACAAGAGCTCTTTTGAAGCTTGTAGAATTGTATAGCATAGAGGCTCTCTCGCGCGGGGGGGGGGGGGGGGGGGGGGGGCAAATCAAATTCCAACTTTCAGAGATTGAAAAAGGCTTGATTCAAGCCCGTGCTCGTGTGCACCGGCACTTGGGGGCACGAATGTCGTCCGGAAATTGGCTGGCCTTGCGGGCTACGTTATGCCGCCAAACTTCGGTACCATACGAGAGGTTGTGGTGCACCGAGAGCACAACTCATGATCTGGAACCCGAAAGTTCCTGTTGGAAGGCAGCTTTAATGTCATTTTTAATTGCCATAATAAAGGCTATTGGCTCCTTCAACCCTATATAAGAGAGGGTAGAGGCAGTAGAGTTTTACACACAGCAAGAACACTGCACGAAACTTTTGTTTTCCAACCTCAAAATTCTGCCCCTACTCCTCTTCTTAGCCATACTGTGTTCATAGCCATTGTCTTGCTTGCCGGATTCTTTGTTTGAATGCTCACACATTGGATCATAGCAAGTTTTATCCTGGGAAACCTAGGCCACAACGCTCCTAGCATCTTTGGGAGGTAGCAAATAAGGTTTTAAGGAAAGAGTGCTCACTCGACTCTTGCAAAAACCCAACACCAAACACTAGCCTTTTTCCTCCATCTTTCCTTCCCTATTCTTTCCAGAAAAATAATAATCTTATTTTTTTGATTATTATTTGTGTTTTCTACCAACGGTATCAACAGTCTTAAAACCTTATTTTATATACTTGTTTCCCGTTGGTGGTCTTCTCCGAATTTCCTTGAAGAAAATGGAGCATCCCGTACTGCCAATTGATGGGGAGGATAATGTTGTTGCGGACAACAATGGAAGAAACGGCAATAATAACGTTGTTGCGAATAACAGTGGAGGGAATGCATGGCAACAATGTTGCTAATTCCCAAGCTACATTAGTGAACGTTGGTTCACAAGATGGTGGGAACACTGAGGGATATATTCCCATGTCTCGGGTACCTTCGGTACCGAGGGGTTCGGCTGAAAAGCCGGAGAAGTTCACCGGTGTTGGTTCGAACTTCAAGAGGTGGCAATAGAAAATGTTATTCTACCTAGCAACTCTCGGCTTGACGAGGTTCTTGTCCGAGAAGGTTCCCGAGTTGAAGGAACAAGATGCACAATCCGTGATGGCAGTTGGCTATTGGAAGGATTCGGACTTCCTTTGTCGAAACTACATCCTGAACGGATTGTGTGACACGCTGTATGATGTATATCGAAAGATCAGCACATCAAAAGCGTTGTGGGAAGCTTTGGATCACAAATACCGAAGTGAGGATGCCGACTCAAAGAAGTTTGTGGTTGGCCGATTCCTCGACTTCAAGATGGTTGATTCAAAAACCGTGCTAAGTCAGGTAGAAGATTTGCAATTAATCTTCGATGAGATCCGTGACGAGGGCATGGTGCTAAGTGAAGCCTTTCAAGTGGGATCTGTGATCCATTTGTTGCCTCCAGGTTAGAAGGACTTCAAGAACTACCTTAAGCATAAGCAAAAGGAGATGAATCTGGAGGACCTGATCCAGCGACTCAGGATTGAGGAAGGGAATAGGACGAATGATAAGAAAGTTCCTATCGTTGTTGGCGCAAAGGCCAACGTTGTGGAGCACGGTAAGAGCTCCAAGAGGAACAAGAAGGACAAGCGAAAGCTAGGTCCGAAAGGTGGCGTTACCAAGAACAAGTTTCCTGGTGAATGCTACAATTGTGGCAAGCATGGCCACAGAGCATCTGAATGCAAGGCTCCAAGGAAGAAGAACAAGAGTTCTGAAGCCAATGTTGTTGGAAATAGCAATCAGAAGGAGGTCGAGATTAGCCTTTCGGCTATGGTGACCGAAGTGAACCTCGTGGGTTCAAACCCTCGTGAGTGGTTCATTGATACCGGTGCAACCAGGCACTTGTGTTGCAACCGAGAGATGTTCAACCCCTTTGAGACCGTTGAGGGTGAAAAGGTGTGGATGGGAAACTCTGCTCAGTCTGCTGTGGAAGGCATGGGCAAGGTGGTTCTGAAGATGACTTCCGGGAAGGAACTAACGTTGAACAACGTGCTGTATGTTCCTGAGCTGAGGAAGAATCTTGTGTCTGGCTCTCTGTTGAACAAGCATGGCTTTCGCATGGTGTTCGAGTCCGACAAAGTAGTTTTGTCCAAGTTAGGGATGTTTGTTGGTAAAGGATATGTAACTGATGGGCTCTTTAAGCTCAATGTAATTCCTGTTATCAATAAAAGCAAAGTTAATTCTGTTTACTTGCTTGAGTCTTCCAGTTTGTGGCATGGTAGACTAGGTCATGTTAATTTTAATTCTATGCGTAGATTAATTAGCGGACCATATTCCTAAATTTCAAATTGACACAAATAACAAGTGTGGAATTTGTGTTGAGGCAAAACTAACGAAAGTACCTTTCAAATCGGTTGAAAGGGAAACTGAACCACTAGAATTAATCCATAGTGATTTGTGCGATTTTAGATCGATACAAACGAGAGGTGGTAATAAGTATTTTATCACATTTATCGACGATAGCACACGATACTGCTATGTGTATTTGCTTAAGAGCAAAGATGAAGCCGTTGATAAATTCGTTCTTTATAAGAATGAAGTGGAAAACCAACTTAATCGGAGAATTAAGAAGGTTAGAAGCGATCGAGGTGGTGAGTACGAAGCACCTACTGGTGACTTCTGTGCGAGTGTAGGTATAATACACGAGCGTACTGCACCTTACTCACCTCAATCGAACGGTGTTGCCGAACGAAAGAATCGTACATTGAAAGATATGATGAATGCGATGCTTATAAGTTCGGGCCTACCTCAAGATGCTTGGGGTGAGGCGATTTTGACAAGTAATTACCTTTTGAACAAGGTACCCCGAAAGAAGCTCGATAAGACTCCTTATGAGCTGTGGAACGGTAGGAAACCTTCCTACCAGTACCTGAAAGTGTGGGGGTGTCTTGCCAAAGTTTTGGTGCCAACACCTAAGAAAGTAAAGATAGGTCCTAAGACGGTGGACTGTATCTTTATTGGCTATGCACATAATAGTAGTGCTTATCGGTTCTTAGTACACGAGTTCCATAATCCGGATGTACACGAGAACACGATAATAGAATCAAGGAATGCATATTTCTTTGAAAATATATTTCCTTGTAGGTCCAACGAGGGACCAAGTACGTCAAAACGAACATTTGACGAAACTATGGATAATGATAGTGGGGAGTCTGAGAAAGAACCCGAGCTTGAGCCGAGACGCAGCAAGCGGGCGAGAGTTGGAAAATCTTTCGGTCCTGATTTTCTAACTTACTTGTTAGAGTACGATTTGGGTACTCTAACTTGTTTATTAGAAAATGAACCCGATTTTCTATCTTGTTTGATAGAGAACGAGCCTCGAACGTATGTAGAAGCCGTGACTTCTACGGAAGGACCAATGTGGAAAGAGGCTATAAAAAGTGAAGTGGATTCCATCCTACAGAATCACACTTGGGAACTTGTTGATCTTCCTCCGGGTAGTAAACCCTTAGGATCCAAGTGGGTCTTTAAAAGGAAGATGAAACCTGATGGTTCCATCGAGAAGTATAAGGCTAGGCTTGTAATCAAGGGTTACAGGCAACGCGAGGGCCTCGATTACTTCGACACGTATTCTCCCGTGACGAGAATAAACTCCATAAGGATGATACTTGCCATAGCCGCGCTGCGGAACTTGGAAGTTCATCAAATGGATGTGAAAACCGCTTTCCTAAATGGCGAATTAGATGAGGAAATCTATATGGAACAACCCGAAGGGTTCGTGGTTCCGGGCCAAGAAAGGAAAGTGTGTAAGTTGGTTAAATCGCTCTATGGTTTAAAACAAGCGCCTAAGCAGTGGCACGAGAAGTTTGACCATGCGATGTTAACTAACAGGTTTAAAATAAACGAAAGTGACAAATGCGTCTACGTTAAGGAAACGATAGACGGCTACGTCATTCTTTGTTTATATGTCGATGATATTCTCATCGTTGGTAGTAATGATCAAATGATCAAGTCTACCAAAAACATGTTAAATGCGAGATTTGACATGAAG